CTTTAATCCATTTTGAGTTGATATTTGTATATGGTGTAAGGGAGTGTTCTAACTTCATTGATTTACATGCTGCTGTCCAGTTTTCCCAACACCACTTGCTAAAGAGGCTGTCTTTATTCCATTGTATATTCTTGCTTCCTTTGTCAAAGATTAGTTGACCAAAAGTTTGTGGATTCATTTCTGGGCTCTCTAGTCTGTTCCATTGGTCCATATGTCTGTTTTGTACCAATACCATGCTGTCTTGATGACTGTAGCTCTATAGTATTGTCTGAAGTCTGAGAGAGTTATTCCTCCAGCCTCTTTCTTTCTTTTCAGTTAATGCTTTGGCAATTTTAGGTCTTTTGTGGTTCCATATAAATTTTATTATGATTTGTTCTAGTTCTGTGAAATATGTCCTGGGTAATTTCATAGGGATTGTGTTAGGGCATCAGTATTATTTTAAAGTTTCCCAGGTCTCTCTGAAGGGCAAACAGGTATGAGAATACATGCTTACTTCACCTGGTGGCCACCAACTGTAGGTGAATAAGCACTTCTCATTTCTGGAGACTAAAACCCAAAGGTGATATAGGGCCTTGAATTAATCTTTAAGTTCAAGTTAATATTAATGGGCCATTTCTCCATGTCTGAGACCCATATATTCTCAAGTGATTCTCACAAGAACTCTACAGATAGCTGTGGTGTGACCCCCATCTTACAGATAATCAAACTGAGGCTGGGAGCAGATGTCCCAACACATGACTAGAACGTTTCAAGGCCAATGGTTTGCAATACCAGCTGGTAGAGAATGTTACTTAACATGTGTGGATGTCAATTTGGTTTTATATAAAGTAAGGCTGATAATGCAGATCGTATGGGCTTATTACAGTGGATGCGGGGGATACATAAGAGGCATTCAGTGTTCATTCATATTTGTTTTGAAAATATACACGTCAGAAAGAGAAGGGCCTTGTCTTTTCTATAATACATTACCTTCATAAAACCTATGGACGTGAAGTTCTGTCTGACTCACCACATCTCTTTCTCGCCACATCCTTTACAAAATGACTAAGATCTGATAAGACCATGGTGCTCTCAGATGGGGCTTAGACATTCTGAGTAGAGCAAAGAGCAATTCGCCTTGTGGAGTGCCGTCCAATCTGTCATGTGGATGACACCACAGGGCTGACTCATCCTCTGATGTGGGTCACTAAGACCCTGAATTTTGCTTCTCAAATGCCAGAAGAGTTGGACTGTCTTCATGACATTTTAAAATTCTTTTTGTACAATAAATTGCTCACATCTCTCAAAAGCTGCTAGTAAAATATCTCTTTGGAATTTGTATTAAGACGTTAAAATACAAACCTAATTTGATGGTACAGATCAAATAATTTGCAAAGGTTTAAGTATAAAGCAAAAGCTAAGAATTCCTTCCCCAGCCTCTTCTGTCCATCCCTGCTGCCCTGTGTTCACACTTTGTCAGAGTCTTTCTGCAATTTTGCTCTGCCAGGAGCTCTGTTAGAGAAGACAATAAAATGTGAGAAATGGAATAGCAGGCTTCCAACTTTTTAAAACCATTTTTTTGTCACCAAATATGGATGGATTGTAGTTTTTCAAATGGAACTTTTTTTGTGGAATCTTTGAGCTGGAAGAGACCTACGGAGCCCAACCCGTTCATTATTCGGGAGAAAAAATTGAGGCTCGAAACCTTCCAATGCCTTGTTCAAGGCTACCCCTTGAACAATTCAGAGCTGGAAAGCAGCTTCCCTAGCCACCTTCCCAGGCCTCTGATCCAAGGCAATAAGCCTTGAAGGAAAGTGTCCTGTACTTTGTGATTCCTTAACTCTGAGTGTAAGCACCAGCCAAGAGCCAGGCATATGGGGAGCCTTCCATAAAGATCAACTTATGTTATCTCATTTCAACACTGCTTCAGTACTGCTGGTTAACACACTCAAAGGAATGAAATAACTATATAAGCAAGACATTTAAGTTGTGAATGCTCCTAAAGTGGGGAAGGGGTTGTAAATTTGACCTGTGTTACTCTAATTGAGTAACTTAATGCCTCTAAATAGTAATATCCAAAAATCAGTGTCAATAACCCTAGATACCCAAATATATAACATGACCAATGTTAAAGCAACTTGCAAACTGTACTTTGTTATACAAGTAATTGCATACCCATGTTTCCATAAAGCTTATAGTTTATAAGATTTTTTCAGATGCATCAGCTTATTTCACACTTAATTGTGGAAAAGGAAGATATGGACTTTGCCATTTATAAATGAGGAGAGACCACACGCTCAGAAGAGGTCACACACTACTTAATGATAGCAGCGGAGCTGAATAGAGTCCCTCAACTTCCAGTCCAGGACTCTTCCAGTATTAGATGTCCCTGATTTGTATTATGTTGATAAAGATTCAAGTCTTCTTCCTGCCAGCATGGATGACAAGACAGCTTCCAAATCGGCCGTGCATGAGCTAGATACCCCACATTCCATCCAGAGAGAACTGTCAATGCATGAGTACTTAATTGCTACCTCCCTTTCACCTGCTGTCATTCATTGACCTAGATGCACAAGGTGAGGGGAATGGCTGTGGGGTAATACAGAGGGTATCTGAGGACCTGAAGCTTAGTCCTAGTTCTTTAATAACTTTCCTTCAATTACTGGTCCAAGATCACACAGCTCACATCCAGATCTCATCCTTTGTCATGTGCGGTCCTTGACAATCAAAACCCAGTGGTACTTCCCAAGCTCATTGCCACATGCTATCAACATCCAAGCTGCTGGCTTCCACGGTCCCACCAAGCTGTGCAAAGCCTCTGTGTCACACTGTGTATTCTAACCACACACTTTTGCAAATGGCACCCCATTTGCCCAGAGCACCTTCCTTAATTCTAAGCCAGGAAGATGCTGACTTATTCTGCAAGCTCCAGCTCAAGTATTACTTCATTTATGAAGATTCCCCTGGCTGTCCAAGGCAGAGTTAGAATTTTGTTTTTTTGTTTGTTTAATCTGCATCTGTTTAATACAGAATCTATCTCATGCTGAGTCTCAGGCATGCCTGGAGGCAGGGAATGTTTCTTATTGGGCACAAAATTTGAGCAAAGTTAGTTTCAGTAAATCATGATCAGATAGATGAACGGATGAATGGATGGACACAGGGATGGCAGAATGATCTAGGAGTAGTGACTGGCTAGGAAACGGAATGTTTGAGTCCTGTGGGCTCTTATTGCAGATGGGTGATCTTGGGCGCATAATTTAACCTCCTGGAGCCTCATTCTCTTTAACAGTGAGATCCACTCTCAAACCTACTGCTCTCAGCTGGGAGCCCCAGGGGGCTGATGGATAGAAACCATGCCAGTGGCTCCTCTCACTTGGCTTCCTGTTGAGTTCGGCTGATGGGAGACAGCAACAAAAGAGATTCGGGGTAGGAGGGGTCTGAGATGCAGATTTTTATTCCACCTGCCACAGCTCCCTCCCTGTGGGTCCTTCAACTGGAAGCCACAGTTCTTTTTCCACCGTCCTCGACTCTGAGTCCCTGTGACCCCTGGCTCCCCGGACTCCTCCAGGCCCAGGCATGGTAACAGCCCCTCCAAGGTCTTTCACTATCCTTTGTGGATTTCCTACACCCTGCCCATATCCTTTAAATGGTCTCTTTATCAAACTGTTCTCAAATTACCCAATTTGAGGGTGCCATCTGTTTCTTGCTGGAACCCCAACTGATCCCGTGGGTAATATCCTTTACACCTCCCAGCATCTCTGTGTAGATTGAATGCAATCATTGACGTAAAGCCCTACTGAATACCCCCAGGGTCTCTGCTGCTAATTTATATGGTTAATGGGGCTAATGATCTCTCCTATGCGGATGAATACAAGCCGCAAATAAATTGTTGCATCCTGCGTGAAGCGGTTTATAAATATAATTTCCAATAAACATTTCATGACAAAAATCACACTTGGAAAAGAAAAGCGTCGCTTCTCCTGCACGCACGTGGGCTCCCCGGAGCACAGCCTGGGCTAACGCGCCCTGGGTGCCCGGGGGGGCGCACAATTGCACGCCAGGGAAAACAAGCTCGGGAGAGGTTCGCTCATTTCCCCGGGGCGGATGGGATGGATGCTGACAGAAAGAGGACAGCATGTCAGGGACGAAGCCCCCTCCCCCACCTGCTCCTGAAATAAACCAATTATCGACCTGGATTGATTCCCCTGCTGTCTTTTCCTCTAAGCTGACACCTGTATCCCATTTTAACAGGAAGTGGCAGGAGCATGTTCCCCAGAATTAAAACATGGTGGGTAAGGCCCAATAATGAGCTTGCTTTTGTTTCCGCAGGCTGAGTTGAAGATCCCTCTCATTTGCCCGGTGCCAAGCACGATGAACAGGCAGTAAGTACCGCACGTCGCTGTGAGCACTAGTTCCCTGGCTCCTAGTCGGGATGGGAGTCAGGTCCCCGAGGAGCACTGAGGAGGGATGCTAGTGCGCCCCCACGAGGATGTGTGAGTGCTCAGCGAGCACCTGCCCCATTAACAGCGAATTTTTTTGCGGGCAGGCCCCTTGCTGTCCGCCAGAGCAGATTCACGGATGCAGGGGGGTCGTGGGAGCAGGGTGCAGGGACTAGAGACACTCAGCACCAGAACGCCGGGAGGGCATCCGAAACCACCCATCACTTCACACCCACGTGTAGCATGAGAACGAAAAGGCCAGCAGTTTGCACCCTCATTCCCACAGCAGAGAACCTGGAATCCCATCTTCTCTGTGGAGCACCCGGGGTGGGTGATGTGGTCGGTTGGGGATATCCAAATGTGTATCTGAATCAGTAGAAAGTTTGTCCCATACCTTATGTCTATGAATATAATAAAAAAGGTAGCAGGTCTCCAAGTTGTAAGAAAACAAAAGACCTTTAAATTGAGAAAGTTAGTGTACTAATTTTAGAATCAGTCTACATATCTATTTTCTTTATTTTGCCAATTGGAAAGGCAGCATGGTTCTTCTCTGTGTGAAATGAGCAGTCGTTGTGTGAAAACGAATATGAGATTCAGACTCGGGCAGACCTGGTGTAAATCCCTTGCCTTGCCCGGTCACTGTATAGCTGTTCATTATTCAGGAAGTTACCTGACTCCTGGAGATCTGAGAAGTTACTTACAACCCTCCTCCGAAAAGTAGGATCTGACCTGGAGAGGAGGAGTGCCTGGCTCCTGGGTGGATCCCTGGTCCTAGAGGGAGGCTGATGGACAGCCCAGGGTAACCAGGTGATGCCTGGGTCGCACAGGTGGCCACTAGGCACATGGTTGGTGCCCAGGGTGGCACAAAGGCAGGAGCCCCAGCTTCAGACCCATATCCCTCTTTGGGGACAAAGTAGGGTTACTCAGACAATCTCAGCAATATTTGCTATGAGTTTCCCTTTGGCTTTGTAGTCAAGAATCCCTACCCTTCAGCCCTTGCTTCTGTTTCTCTCCGTGGTGGCATCCTGTGCCGAGGGTCTCCTTCATAAAGAGGAGCGGCGTCTCCCTCTCATGACTCGGGGTAGCTTTGTTTTTCAGCCACACAGTGAGCTCTTGGCAATTGCTTTTGATCAAGCTTTCCAAAGAGCACTTTTTGAGTTCAGCTTTAGAGTCACATCAGATGTGAAGCTGCCAATACATAGACCAGAAAACAGACCAAATCGTCATAAATTCATAAACATTAGTTTTCTCCTGTAAGGTTGCTGAATCCGAATCTGTCCTTTTATAAGATCCCCAGTTGATTTATAGTCACGTTAAAGTTTGAGAAGCATCTGACTGAAGAACAATGGTTCCCAGAGCCATCTCCGTCCTGGCAGCCTGCACAGGTAGCTCTGATATTTATCAAGATGTGACTCAGAGAAGTCAGTCACGAATTGGATGTTGCATGAGCACAATAAATTGGAAATTTGCTTCGCTCCACCTACACATGTACATGCACACATAGCTAACTACACACACAGGGTTTTGTTCTGCTATGCCTGGGGGAGCACGCCTTCCTCTATGAAAAGCATTAAACCAGTTAATTCAAGGCAGTAGATTTTAAACCTGGCTGATCAGTAGAATAATCAGGGAAGCTTTAAACAAACAGCAGTTTCAGTGACCTTCCCCCGACCAAAGAAATCAGAATACTTGGACCGTGTGATGTTCTTTTTTTTTCATTTTTCAGTTTTATTAGGTAGAATTGTTACAATTTGACCACACATATAGAATATATTGCATGTAAATACATGTATACAATATACTGTACATATTTTTAAATTTATGTGTATGTACTGTTCACTGTTTCTAAGCGCTTAGAGCTTTAGCTTTTTAAACTTACATAGTTATCAAAGGAATAAAGCCAATCACAAAATAAGAATGAATTCAAAAAGATACATACACCCCACTATTAATGGCATTATTTATAATTGCCAAGATATGGAAGCATCATAGGTGCACATCAACAGATGAATGGATAAAGAAGATGCAGCTTACATATGCAATGGAATACAACTCACACATAAGAAAGAAGGATATTTTGCCATTTGCAGCCCTTCATTCCAGTGGGATGTTCTTTTAACGCTCAACTGAGTCTAGTCTGTAGCACAGCTTTCAAAATGCGGTGTAACACATCTCCCAATTCTATAATCTGGAATTCTGATTTTATAACGTGAAATTCTTAATGGTCTTTGTAACTACAGCTAATTTCTTACTCTCTCCATTTGGAACTTTTACAAAGAAGGAATGAATAAACACAAATAAAAGGATGATATAGAAATAGATTATATATTTATACACATGCACACACATATAGATGTATATGTATATACACACACACATACACACGAGTAAGTACGCGTACGTGCATTTCCCTTTAAGTGTATCAGTTGGGTCAGAAGCATTTACCGACTAATACACACTTTGCCGGGCACTGAGCCTGGCACCTCCCTTATAAAGATGAACAGGATCTAGTCCCTGCCTCAAAAAGCATTAGCCGTAAGTTAAGAAAATCATTTTCGTATTATGTAGGAAGTGATGGGAAGACTCCACAAAGCTATGGCGTCCTGATGTCCTGATTCTAAATTGCTTCTGAAATTAGAAGGCTAGTCTACATGAACTGTCTCAGCAACAAAACTTGCCCTCTGTCCATTACGCCCTCAGGGCTGGACACCGGAGTCTCAGATTTGGTTTCCAGTATCTCTTCATCATTCTGGACAGAACAGATTAGATCCCTGGTGCTGCAGTTCTGAGTGTTTGGGGAGAGACGAGGTCACTAGAGTGATTGCTTCTCGGCCCTTCCAGTAAGCAAACGCCCTCTCTGGCCAGGCTCCTTTGGGAACTCAGGGGAAGATGCTCTCATACATCCCGGACAGGGGGCTGATGGGAGAGCCAGTGCCCTCAAGGCATCCACTTTGAAATATGCTATAGAGTTCTAACAGTAAACTAGCTTTGTTCATCCTGAAAATGACTCCTAGGCCTCACAGAAATTTTAGAAAATATACAGAAGTACCAAGAAGAAAATGAAAATCACCAATTATGCCAGTGGCCAGAAATAACCACTCTTTTGTTACAAATTCCGTTTTCTATATCTGTGTGATATTTTGACACTTCAGGAAGCCTACTTTTAAAACTTGTACTGTTTTCAGTTATTCATAATGCTTTGTATTATGACCCTAGGCCCACATGAGTAAATCTTTTTTAAAAATCAGGGTGTTTATAACAGTAATGCTTAAAAAAAGTTTCATTATCCCTTATCCATCATTTCAAAGCCGATAGGCTTCAGGATACTGAAAACTTTTTCATAACGAATTTGATGACAAGATGCGACCTCCAGTGAGGTGAAGTGCTGTATGTTCTTTGTTTGACCCACTTGGTGTGAATATCCACGTGTCACTGCAGGAATAGCAACGTGTTTAATGAATGGGTGCCGCCTCAGAGCTTACTGGGGATCTTACATAGGATTCAACACAGGCACAATATTACTTTTCTAAAATCCAAAATATCCTGGACCCCTAGCCCTAAGGAATTTGGAGAACAAATGGTGGATCTACATTTTATCTGGTGGTTTTTCTCTTGACCTTGATGTTGGACGTTTCAGTTGTTACCTATAAAGTTTTACGAGGCAGTTTTATTGCCAAGATTTAACTTAATACTTTATACCCTAGGAGTGTTAGAATAGGCTGTGTCCCTCTGGTTCCTAGCATGCAGTGCTATGTCACATGTAACACAATTATTCTGTGATAGTCTAGTATTACATAGGAATGCAAGTTTAATCAAATTCTTTAACAATAACCTAGTATTTCTTTTCTTGCTTCGGGGAACTTGTCTTTCACGTCTATTTTGGAAACAGTTTTGATGGTAGAAAAAAATAAGAGTTTGTCTCAAAAAGAGAGAATCTTAGAGATTTGGAATTCAAGCTTCCACACATGGCTGTAACCCCATTAGCAACAGCTCTGTGAGATAGAATTGAGACTCTTTTGTTTTTTCCAGCATGCACATGTAGTTTTTATTAGGCAATGTATGCTGTGGTTAAAACCAATTACCAAGGCTAATTTCAGCTTCGGGTCACCCAAGGTCGTCTTAACCCCAAAACTTCTCTTCCCATTTCAGCTCTGGATTTATGTTTTCAGATGATTGGACTCTGTAGATAAATGTACAGAAGTGACTGATCATTGTTCTCACATGAAGGCTTCTTCGTTACTTTAAAGTGTACAGTGGTTTTTAGTATATTTATGGAACAGGGCAACCATCACCCACATCAATTTTAGTATTTTTATATTCTTTATATATTGCAAATACAAGTTCCTTACCAGATGTCTGAACATTTTCATCAACCCCAAAAGAAACCCTTACCATTTAGAAACTTCTTGAATAGTCTTAGGATAAAGGGCTCACTACCTTCTGAGACAGTAAGTTTAAAAAGTATAAGAAAGTGCCTCTTTGTATTGACATCATTGAAGCCAGCTTCAAGTAAATGTCAATCATTAATCAATAAGCAAAATAATAATACTTTCCTAATACTTTTCCACTTGAATTCAGTGTCTAGTTATGAGAATGAAAGGGCAGAAAGAATAAAAAGTCCTACAGGCGAGTCGTGACTACAAGCCAAGGACTCTGTTAGTCATTTGACACCATCTGCGCCATGCTGTCAGCTACTCAGCACTGAAACCCCCTTCCCATGTCACCACATGAGAATCCCTCACTTTGGGATAATAGCCTCCCCAGTTCAGAGTCAGTTAGAGCCACATCCCTCTGACTCCAAAATCTGTGATCTTTGTGCCATACTGAACTGCTTCACAATGACTAGGAAAACCATCCTTGCGTGTAGCCCACAAGGGACACATTCCCAAACTGAATGACTGTTTTGCTTATGAGGGGCATATTTTCCCTTTGAAAACTTGCCT